CACCTACTGGGCTCACCCTGCTCTGGTCAGTCCTCAAGACAAGGAAGGCAGAAACGTCACAGTCAAAACATGTCAAGATGAGAGTCTCTATTTATTAAATTCATTAATGAATTTCTATTCATTATAATGATTTCCTGCTCATTCATTTGGTTCTGTTCGTTCATTCTATTAATCTCCAGGCCTTATCTGTTTATACCTGATAATCTAGAGCAGGTCAATGGAAGAAGGTGGCGCTAATCTTTAAAATAAAAATTGTCTTGCTGGTTACATATTCACTGGGTGTTGGAGATTTTTTAGTAAACCTCATATTTTTCTTTTTTACACTGCTCAAAAGAAAAGTCCCAAAACTAGAGTGGTTCCACTTAATCAATGAAACCATTCGAATTCCGACCCAGCTTTTACATTTGCAGCTGGCAGTAACCAAAGTAATTTATTTGGTTTCAAGTTCTCCCTCTTTTAACATCTTGTACTAGTAATTAAAAGTTTTGAAAGCACAACATGCTGTTTCTCCTACTGAATATCAAGTCTGGTAAAAACAGCATTTATCAGTCATGTATTGTACATGAGTATCACCACACCTCTGGTTATTTCACTGTCAAATAATCTTATCTCAGGAAGTGATTAGGACAGATGAATTTGGACAGGGAGCACGTGTTTCCGAGGTGGGCCCTTTTCCTGCAAATTTGTCAGGAGTTAATCATTTCTGCAGAGGTATTTTAGTGGCCCAGGCAGAGGAATGGACCCTGACCCTTGGCCATGAGCAGACACCACCTCTGTGCTTTCAGGATGTCAGCACAGCAGCGCCATCCAGAGAGCTGGGTCACTCCTGACTATCTCATGGAACAAGAAATCATTTGGCACAGAGCTTGTTTCTCTTTCTGTTCTATCACCCACACTCAGGTCAGCAGTTTCTCCAGAACTCAGCCTTCTAGATAGAGTTTCCTTCTGCAGCTGGACCAGTCTGAGGGGGGAATTATGATGCTTCCAAACGAAAACAATAATATTTTAAAAAAATCCCTACACTTTACTTTTAAAATGCATGTAGTGAGCACTTGCAGGGAATCAGGGACAGACTGAGACCAGGTGACACTGGACACCAGAAAGTACCAGACTGGAGGGACACTCTGGGACATTGAACTGATTTGCTGAAGCACCCACCCGATTTGGAAGTTGGTGTAAATACCCAAATTAATACATGAAATGAGTCAAAATATGGCCACAGAGGGGACAGGCTCAGCTGGTTTAGATGGGATTTTGTTGAACTGCTGCACCCTCTCGTGGAAGTCTCTTAAATCCTTGTAAACCCTGGAAATTTATTCAAGGCCAAAGCAACACTTACCAATCCTTAACAAACTGATTCATAAAACACCACTGAACTTTTGAGACTTTTTAAAGATAATGATGATTCTGGGCACTTGCCACGTGGATCCTGCCACCACGTGGGCAGTAGGGTATGGATGGCAGTGTTTTAATCCTTCTCCTTTAGGCCAACTCCTTTTCAAACTAAACAAAATGGGAATGTTCCTTTACAATGCAGTGTTGGCCAACCAAAAGCAAAATATTTTCTAAAATCACCAGCTAGTTCTACCTAGCACACAGACAGGTCACTATCTACATTCAAACAAATAATGTAATTAACACTTAGCTCCATTTTACTAACAGGTAATTTACTACATACATGCAAATAAAGTTCATTCTTCAACCCCAAATTCCATCAAATTAACAAAAGGATGCCTGGAAGGTAACAGCACTGGCCTGTTTTACATGTGACAACCAGCTAAGAGCTGCTGCTGGAGTAGTTGAAGGTGTGAAAGAAGATCCCTGTAGATATCCCTGGAAAAGGTCCATTGTACAAGAGTAAAGGGAGAGGCCTTGTAAATTTGAATTCCTCCCAGGCTCTGCAGGAGTCAAACAGCAAGGAGGGAAACAGGACAGGAGTGTAAACACCTTAAACTGAGAATAACGTAACTGAATGGACAAAATCAATGCTAAATCCAACAACACTTTTTCTTGTAAGATGAAGGAACTGAAGGACCAAAGTGTGAGGCTCAGGGAGCAGCTGGGTGGGCCCAGGCTGCAGAACACCTAAATAAAACCAGCCCTAGGATGATGCAGAAACAGCCAAATGCCTGCTCTGCTCAGCAGCTGTTCTTGGAAACAGCCTGAAGCGCTGTGAGTAGGAGATGCTCTGCTCTGCAAATGAGAATCTGGATTTGGACATTTCTTTCCACAAGAATTCTGTGTGGGAGCACACCAGAAATGCTTTATTCCTGGGATTCATCCATCTGTGTGTTGCTGGATCCAGCATTCCCGAAGGGTACAGGATACTGCCTTACTGTGTTCATTCTGTTCATGACTTTTTGTCTTTCCCATTTCCTAAAGTTTTTAAAATTAGGGAAAAAAAACTTGGAAGGTTTTTTTCTAACCAGGCTCAGGTTGAGCCACGATTGGTCAGCTGGATAACACAAATTTTCTGTGGATGCATAAATCCCCAACTGTTCCAGGAGATGAAGCAGGCAGTAACACCCCCTTCTATTCCCCCAGCCAAACATTCCTCACGTGGCACTTCAGCTTTAGCTCATGCTTCTTACTTTAGGTATTAGCACTGTAGGAGCACTCAGCACAGGGGTGCTCAGCTCTTCTGACCACACACCACAGGCCAAAACGTTCCTGTGGCTCAGGCCCAGGTGCTTGCCAGGCTGGAGGCTGCAGGAGTGGGGAAGGCTGGAGAAGACCCAGGTGGGAAGTGGCAGCAGCACCCCGAGCCCTGCATCCCACAGTGCTGAGGGATGGAGCACAGGCGTGGGCGGGTGCCAGGATGACACATCCTGCCTCAGCAATGCCATCTGCCTGCTCCCTCCCACTGCCAGGGATCCAGCCTGCTGAGCTGCACCAGGATCCTCACCTCACCCCTCCCAGCGTGGCATCACACACAGCCCCTGTGGGGCTGCTGCCCAAGGGACACGAGCTCACTGTCCCCCATGGACATGGCTGCTTGACTGCCTTTGTGCTGTGGTTATCTTCCAAACAGTGCCTCTGATGCTGCTTTGCAAAAGTGGCCAGTTCCTAACTGTTCCCAGAATAAATGCTGAGCAAGGCTGAATCTATTCCTAGACATGATTTCATTCATGTGGTCCACAGGCACAAGAACCTTAAAAATGCTAAAGAAGGAAACTGGAGCAGATGAGACCATTTCAAGACATCAAAAAATGGGTCACATATGCTACACGCTGAGCTTCCCTCACTGACAGCAAATGCCACAGAAATCCAGCAATTCCCCAGATTTTAGATATGATTGGCACCTCTTTGGGGGGCTACATTCCAGTGGAAAGTGTCCCTGCCCATGGCAGGGCTTGGAAGGAGATGAGCTTTAAGGTCCCCTCCAACACCAATCATTCTGGGATTCTAAACCACATGGAGGGACTGGAAAATAACACAGATTATGGCTCCAATTTTAAACCTCAGACACCACAGAATGTTACAGGGAAAGCACAGCACACAGGAGAACTGGAAAGCCTCTCACTCACCCAGTTCTCACACACAGGGAGAAGCTGCTCAGCTCATGAGTGTCACGCTCATCCAAAGGAGGTTTTCCTTTGTATTTAAACAATTCCCCATCAGCTGATCCCAAACTCAGCACATTAATCCCTTCCTGCATCATAAATTGCAGTAATCTGACACAAAGGTGCTTTGAGTCTGTACACAGGTAAGTGGCAACAATAAAATAAACAAAGCAAATCCTGCCAGGAAATGTCATCGCCCTCATTTAAATTTTCTAGCTTAGTCCACCTATAAATTTGGAGAAAAAGCAAGAGGAGTGAAGACAAATCCATGTATTTTCAGAATATTTATCACTGCTGCTGTGCTTCAGAAGAAATTTGATAAGAAACCTAATTGCTAAGTTACAAAGACAACAGCATTCATTTTCCTATTACCAAGAGAACTTTTGCTTCTTGGTCAAGGAGCCATCACTCCTCTGACCTTGATGCCTCACACTTCAACAGCTTCTGAATGAGGATGTAGCCAAGATACAAATGTAGGCACTTAAACAAAACCTGGGATTGTTTTATTTATTGTCAAATAAATAAAGTGGTGGCCCTGTGTATTTTTGGGAAGGCATCTGTGACACTCAGGGTATGAAGCTCTCACTGTACACAGAGTTCTGCCTGGGGCCACACTTTGCCAGTGGCAGGGGCTTTAAAAAAGCAAAGTGCTCATTTGTTTTTTCAAGAAAATCTTTCATCATTCCACTGCCTAAATCAATGTCCTGTTTCATCCTAATGGGGAGACAGATGGTCACTGGGCAGATTTCATTCCAAAATGACAGCATCCTTCCCATGTAAGCCAAACCAAGAACAAAAAGACTTAATTGCATCCCACCACAACACAAAACAAATTTAGCCAGATGAGAGGAAGGAAGAAATCTGGGCAAGGGCAGAAATAATGACTAATCTAAATCTTGAAACCATCTTAAAGTTAATTTACCCCACAGTTTCCAACTACTTTATACAACTCTAAGCATGCTCTTTAATAAAAAAATCACATGATTGGCAGCATTGATTAATTACTGATGTTTTCTACTGGAATCACAGAGTGGTTTGGGTTGGGAGGGACCTTAAAGCCCAACCAGTTCCACCCCACAGCCATGGGCAGGGACATTGTGGGTTTAACCTGTTTTACAAATAAACCAACCCAGATCTCCACTCTTGCTGAAGAACCATCCTCAGCACACGTTTGGGGATGCCACTTGTGGGCAAACTGCCTTTCCCAGTTCCTGTGCATCCAGGAACTGCTGACAGCACTTCAGGAGAGGCTCATCCATCCCTGGCAGTGTCCAAGGCCAGGCTGGGCAGGGATGGTGGAAGCTGCCCCTGCCCATGGCAGGGCTGGCATGAGCTGAGCTCTAAAGCCCCTTCCAGCCCAGGCCATTCCATGATCCCGTGCTGAGGGGAGGGCTGCCTGCCTGCTGTGGCAGCAGGGGTGGCCACAATGGTACTCACAGGTGCTGTTGCTGCTCCTCAGAGCTCCTGAGCTTCATCTGACGGGCTGGTGCCTCCGCAAACGCAGCCTGGGCATCCCTGCAGCAGACAGATTGCCAAGCATGGGGGAAGGTCTGGCTAGCAGAGGTGTAACTCCCATAGCTGCTGCAGATAACATGACATCAACAGATCCTGTTAGCACACTGCATCAACACGCTCTCAGTCTGAAAATCTGCTCTGCTTGGTCCTGGGAATTTATTATGAGCTCAGAGTCCTACTGCACTCGAGTGTTGTATAAAGCTTTATCACAATGCATTCCTTCTGATCTTATTTAACCTCATTTAAATTTAATCCCATTTCCATGTAACATTTCCTCATGGCATGCACAGAGAGTGTTTTCTTGGAAGCAGAGAACACTAGTAACTGGAGGGAAATAAATGGGGGAGATTACTTGAATTAAATTTTAGAGAAATACATGCTTTGCTAAATGAAGTTGACACCAAAACGTTAAAGAGATGAAGAGAATTGGCAGTCCAGGGGACAAGGAGTGCTGCAGCCAGCCCAGGCCATCGGGACAATGCCTGTACCCCACTGGCAAGTGCTCTCCACTGATGCTGGACACTGATGTTCATCCCCAACACCTCTGCGGGCAATCTGTCACCACAAACTGCAGAGGGAGCGTTAAAAACAGTGAAAAACGGGGCACTCTGCACTGCCCCCCAAGCCGGGCTGGAGCTGTGCAGAGCAGCAATGGTTCTAAAAGCCTACAACAAGACAGAAACACGGCTGTGGGAGCTGCAGGGTGGGGTTTATCACAGCGGGGGAAAACACGAGAGAAAACAGGGCCCATTTCCAGTGCTTCCCAGCAGAGCTGAGACAGCCCGGAGGGATCCCGGCCCGCCGGGAACTCACCTGCCTCAGCCACGCGGGCAGAGGGGCTACATCGGGACGGGATGGGAGCGGGATAGGAACGGGATGGGATCGGGGTGGGACTGGCACAGGGATCGGGACGGGATCGGCACTAGGATGGGGATGGGATCGGGATGGGGATGGGACCTAAAATCGGGGCCGGGCTGAGGGAGGGGAGCGGGCCGGGCTCGGGGCCGGGCTGAGGGAGGGGAGCGGGCCGGGCTCGGGGTCGGGCTCGGGGCCGGGCTGAGGGAGGGGATCGGGACAGGATCGGGCCGGGCTCGGGGCCGGGCTGAGGCGGGGATCGGGACAGGCTCGGGCCGGGCTCGGGGCCGGGCTGAGGGAGGGGAGCGGGCTGGGCTCGGGGCCGGGCTGAGGCGGGGATCGGGCCACGCTCCGGAAGCGCTCCCGGCCCGCCGGGCCCGCCCCACCCCGTGGCGCCTGACCCGGAGCCGCTCGGCCGCGCTGACGCTGCCTTGTCCCGCCATGGCTCCCAAGGGCGGCCCCGGCGGCCGGCAGCAGTCCGAGGAGGATCTGCTGCTCCAGGACTTCAGCCGCAACCTCTCGGCCAAGTCCTCCGCGCTCTTCTTCGGCAACGCCTTCATCGTCTCCGCCATCCCTATCTGTGAGCGGGCGAGGGCGGGCGGCAGCCATGAGGGGTGCTGAGGGGAGAGGGGCATCAGCAGCCATGGGGGGAGCAAAATACCCTGGGAGAGGGAGATCAGCAACCTTGGGGGGAGCAGAATACCGTGGAAGAGGGGGATCAACAGCCCCAGAGGAGATCAGGAGGTTGGGGAGAGGGATCAGGGCTCCCCACTGCCCAACGCGGGCTCTGTCCCGCTGCCCGCGGCAGATCCCGAGGCTGCTCCGAGCGAGCCCCGGCGGATCCTGGCTCCGGGCAGTGTCGGGTCCTGGTTCTGAATGTGTGGGATCCTGGCTCCGGGCCGTATCGGGTGCTGGTTCCAGCCCTGTCGGATGCTGGTTCCGAGCCGTATCGGATCCCAGCTCCGGCCGTGTCGGATCCTGGCTCCGGGCCGTATCGGGTCCCGGTTCCAGCCCTGTCGGGTGCTGGTTCCGAGCTGTGTCAGATCCCGGTTCCAGCCGTGTCCGGTCCCGGTTCCGAGCCGTGTCGGATCCCGGTTCCGAGCCGTGTCGGATCCCGGTTCCAGCCGTATCGGATCCCGGTTCCGGCCGTGTCGGGTCCCGGTTCCGAGCCGTGTGGGGTCCCGGTTCCAGCCGTGTCAGATCCCGGTTCCGAGCCGTGTCGGGTCCCGGTTCCAGCCCTATCGGTTCCCGGTTCCGTGTTCGGTGCCGGTTCCGGCCGGCAGGGCAGCATCACTGACGTGTCACCGCAGCAGCGCTGCCCGCAGGCTCGGCCGTGCTCTCATGGAGCCCCTTCCAGCCACGCGCAAAGCTCATTTCCCCCTTCCAAAGTACTTTCAATGCAGTTCAAAGAGCCCCGAGTGATTTTGGAGGAGTTGGCTTTGCTCAGGCAGAGACTGTGTAATTACAGAGCTCAGATCCTCTATGGGTCTCCAGTATGGGGCGTTTTTCTTGGAGAGAAACTGCTTCAAGTATCATTGTACTTTTTTGTTTTAAGGGCTTTATTGGAGAATATGGCATATGGATCTTGTTCAGTCTGCAGTCCTGTACAGCGTCATGACCCTCATCAGTACCTATCTCGTGGCTTTTGCATATAAAAACGTCAAGTTTGTCCTCAAACACAAGTAAGTTTGGTGCCTCTTTGAATTTATCATTTAACAATTGAACAAAACTGCCATTTACTACTGTAGTTTTTTATTAACAAGAATGCCTGAAATGTTACTCCAAAACATATTTTCCAAACATATTTTTAGAAGTACCTCCTAATTGGTTTCTCTTGTAATTATAGTCAGATCTTGTCAGCTAAGAGTATGGTGAAATAGTAAATCCACCATCGTGCTCCCTGGGTATCACCACAAATTATGTTTAAATTATAAATTATTTTAGTTATTGGATGTGAATTATATTACTAATTCTTATCCCTTCACCTTGACAAAACTGTTGGGTATCTTGGCTAAGTTGTATTCTTCACTGTGCATAAAACCTCCAGTAAAGCCAGGGCTGGGCTGTGGGGTTTTTTCCTTTCTGAAGTGTGACATGAGTGGTGGTACTTACAGAGTAGCCCAGAAAAGAGAAGATGCTGTTTCCAAGGAGGTGACTCGCAAGCTGTCTGAGGCAGACAACAGGAAGATGTCCCGCAAGGAGAAGGATGAAAGGTGATCTCTCTGTCCTCCTCCTCCTCCTCCTCTCCCTTGTTGTAGGAGGGCCTTAAATGTCTTGGAGGCTCTGGGTGGGGCAGTAGGGACTGTGCTTGCACTGTTTTGCTGTATTCTGGGAAGCAGCAGCTGCAGGGTAGCTCGTGGTTCAGCTTTTGACGTGAGTTGTTAAGGGAAGGCCTCAGATGCACTCGGTGTTAGAGGGAATCCCCACTGGGACTGTGCAGGAGGGGAGCTTGGGAGCCAAACTCTGTGTCTTCTGGAAAAACTACTGCACACTTCATCATGTGGGTGTCCAGGATATCCCCATCCCTGGCAGTGCCCAAGGCCAGGCTGGATAGGGCTGGGAGCAGCCTGGGACAGTGGGAGGTGTCCCTGCCATGGCAGGGGTGGAGTGGGATGAGCTTTAAGGTCCCTCCAACCCAAACCATTCCAGGATTCTGTGATATCCATTGATTTAAATATATCTGAAATTTTATCTCCACTTGCTCCTAGGATTCTGTGGAAGAAAAATGAAGTTGCAGACTATGAAGCAACAACTTTCTCCATCTTCTACAACAACACCCTCTTTCTGGTGCTGGTTATCATCGCTTCCTTTTTCGTGCTGAAGAACTTCAACCCCACTGTGTATCCTTTATCCCCACCCTAAAGCCCCCACAGCCCCGCTCCTGTTGGCTGTCACCACTGGCTGTGGGCTGTGGCATTCCTCTCTTGGTACCTGCAGCTCATGGTTAGTACAGCAGCTTAGAATGCTGAAACAAAAATAAGAGTTTACCAAACTAAAGTCTCCCAATTAAAGTCCCTTAAAACATGAGATGTTTTCAGCATATTGCTTGGACAGTGTATAAGAATTCTCCTGGCTTTGCCATTTCCATTGTAATTTTGGAGTGAGGACACAGCTCAGTTTCCTGCAAACACTGTGTCAGTGTTGGGTGCCAGGAGCTCTTCCCTGACAGGATGCTTCAGCTCCAGTAGCTCACATGTAAAGTGTTTTGTTCCTGAAGGATATTAGTTTTGCCAACAGGGCAGTTAATTCAAGGTCTGTATTTATAAAACTTGTAAGAGAAAAGGCTGAACCTTATGGGTGCCTTAATTCTGAAGGTGAGTTCTGAAGCTGTGTTTGCAATACTCCAGTTTTAAAACTCCAGAGAAAGATCATTTCGATTCCTTCCTTTTCATAAAACTCCTACCAAATGTTGTGTACCAAAGAACAATCTTGACAATTCCTTAACCTGTTCCCTACAGAAACTACATCCTTTCTATCAGTGCTTCCTCAGGACTGATTGCTCTGCTGTCCACAGGATCCAAGTAGACACAAAACCCTCAGCAGTTCCTGAGAGAGGCTTCAGCTGCCATGAAAATGCCTAAGGGTGGAATAGGAATATTTTTGTTTTTTAGCATGAGGAAAACGTGGGGAGGGTTTGAATCCAAAATGGTTGAATTGTATTTACTTTTGGTATCTTTACATGGTATTTGATATTGGAGTTACTCAGTTTTTTTTTACTTAGCAAGGAGAGGGAGTGGGGTGTGTGAGCTGTGAGCAGACATCCTCTTTCTGCAGCTCCACCCTGGGGACAATCCATTTATCATTGTAACTTGAAAAGTTGTAATTAAAAGGAGCTTTTTTTGCCATTTGATTCCTTGTATTTTCATTCTTCATTTTTTAAAAACCAGGGATTTTCATGTCTAGGTTTGTCAACTCTTTCTGCTTCCAGAAGAGAGGAGACATCTAATATATTCCTTGGAAGCACTCCTCATTTCTGAGTAACATGGAGTCAGGACAAAACCTGAATCTCCTAGGAAAACACTTTTGAAGTGGTTTGAATGCACTTTTTTCCATTAATCTTCCAAGTTGTAAATAAATAAAAAACCCTGCCAGTCTCCCTGCACAGCTTAAGAAAAATGCTTTAGCTGGCTCTTCATAATGGGTTTATCAGACAATCCTGTGCCTTATTTTCTGGCTATCACTGGAGCAGCTGTTCACTTAAATGCCAAACTCTACTGATACTAATGGAATTCTAGTTACAGATCCTGCCATTACAGACTTGGGATCCTAAAGAGAGAAGAAAGTTTTTGATGAGATTTAATGTAACAATTACTCTGCTAATCTTGGCTTCAATAAGATTAAATGGAAAATAGAGTAAAATGGAGAGAATGTGATGAGCAGGAGACAGTAATGGCTCTATTTCTGACAAATTCAAGTACTTTTGCTCGTTTAATACTCTTTAATTAACTGTTTTCTCTCAAAATACATGGATTTCTCTTTATCCTTTCTGCCTGACTATTCAGCACTGGAAGGACACATTCCCTAAACTTGCTGCCTGCCTTGGCCAGTTTCCCTTTCCTTGGCCTCACTTCTTATAAGGGATATAATTGCTGGGTTTTAGCTGAGTATTTAGCTCACATAGAGCAGATTTTTAACAGCCCTCTCCAAAATCCAGAGCCCAGCTCAAAGCCAGGCTGGCTCCTCTGGGAGCAGCAGGACTTTGATGTTGCTGTTTCTGCTCTGTTGCTCTCAGAGCCCCCAGAGCTGAACTGAAAGCCTTGAACAGACAATGTTATACTCACTTTCCTGGCAGGGCTTTAGCAGGTGTATTCCCCAGGAAATCTGCTGTCTGCAGAGTGCTTGGAAGCAGCACTTTCTTCTGCCATTACTGTCGGCTCACTGAGTCTTTTATTACCAGCTTTTCATCTTCTCTTAAGGCTTTTTTGGTATTGACAGTTGCTGAGGCCTGGAGCTTAGCATGTCACAATTTTCCTGGAGAGGGAACATTGAGCACTGACAGCCTGAAACAAAAGCAGGTGGGTGGGTGGGGTG